ATTTGTTTCTATCATTTTTCACTATTTCATGTAACTTGTGTATGTCCATGCTGCTTTGGGTTAGACAGCAATATTGTAGTCCAACGGGATTTCCGCCGTTCTATACCAGTTGGTTTACCTATGGCCTCCAATGTACTAGGGCTCTTGTTACTCAGTCTGCCTGTCTAATGACCACTGAGAACTAGCAGATTGTGTTACAGTTATTGATATTCAAACAACATGTTTAACTTCACAAAGAAAATTGGTCCCGAGCACAGACCGAGACCACGAATCTATAGATCCCTTCCAGGCCCCAAAGGGACCAAGTTAGTAGCAAGAGGAGACCACTGACACATGTGGGCACAAACTTATACAGGGACTGTTCTTCGTTAATCCTTGCCTACCGTCAGTTGCTCACATTCCCTTCTAACACTGTGACCAGAGACGCAAAAACGCCTACTCACGCTGTGCAGATGGTCCATGGTTTAGGCCTGACAGACGGGTCATCCGCACTATCGAACCGAAGTTCATCAGTGTCTGGAAGGAGGCAGGAGGCAGTCCTAGTCTGTCCTCACCTGTGGCAGATGGTCGATCTTATCTCTCCCACTGGCCTGCGAGTTATTTGTCTGTATTTATCCACGTGCTTTAATAAATGTAAACTACTTGGGCGTTTATTCGCCAACGAAACGCAGCTGGGATTCTGACTCAAACAGATCTAAGTCGGTTAGTTTCACGTCTCTCCTCTGATATCTCCCCCCCCCCGTCAGTTAGTACGAATTTTGTGAGGTTGCCGGGAGCGAACACCACTCTTACAAGCTTACACTGTTTCGTTCTTTTCTGCTGTGAGTTGCCGCCCGTCGTCATTTGCACGCCTTTCCTGCTACCTTGTCGGGACGCGCATGAACACTTATTGGGTCTTTATGTAGATGCTAGTTAGCCATCAGCTCCCATCCAAAGTGCAAAACTACTGAATTCTGGAACTGTGTTCTTCTGCTAGTCAGCTGATGCAGATTCTGAATGTCTGCTCAACTCTGAGGAAGTGCTATCGACGAAGACATGGTGTACTGGAAAGACAATTCCTAGTTTATTTGCCGTCTTCGTCCGGCCGTACGTAAACTATGGACCATGAGGCACCTTACGCATTTAAACGCGAGTCAGCTGGTCATCGAGCATCTGACTTACGTCGACGAACTTTACTGTCACGTGCGATTTACCGGATAGTCTTTTAGAGATGGTGCGCAGCTAGACTCCTATGCTTTGCGAAATGCTCGGGTTTAATAGTTAACGTATGCTCGGTCTCTGTTACCTTTCTCCAAAATGGTGTCTTTCCGAAATGAGACGGGGTATTTTAATTTTTCTCGAGACTATTTAAGGGTTTAGTTTATTTCCTACCCCAAGCCAACCATAATCGACAGACTATCAAACGTCTGACGTTACGGGCCGGAGTAAACTAGATTTTCAGTTGGAGGAACTCCCATACTGAATTGCTGTTTTCGCCAAAACAGGAAGGATCAAACCATTCTCACATGCGACTCGTCCCGTCGAGGCCGCCCCTAACTTCATAGTGATCAGACGTGTAGTCCCTTTCGTCATGGAGGCAGAACTTTTGCGATTTTATCCGAAACAGTCCAACCGACCCCTCTACGTAGCAGTGCAGGGGAGTAAACACAAGAGATGGAGCCGCCGTCGGTCTCACCGTAGATTCATTGGCTTATTGCGCTAAGTCTAACAAAATGCATCTTCATTGTCTAGCCTGAGGAACGTGGTACTCACTCCGATCCCTCGCCGAATGAGACCGTCTTCATTGGGCCTATCAACCGCCCTTTAGATCTTCCAGACGAGGATTATGTGCCAGCACTTGACTCGCCCGCGCTCTCTGAGACAGGGACAGTCAGTCAGAATGAAACTGTCTCAGAGTCCGTAGGAACTGACAGCGAAGTGGAGGCCGGGGAACCACCAAAGCGGCGTGTTAAAAAGATGGTAAGTTCCGTCTCCTACCCGTCTTCTTTTCCCCTTCATTATCTCCACCAGTTAGCTGCTTTCAGTATTTCCGAATTGTGTACTTTTTGTGAGTCGAGGGAGAACAATTTGCACGGTCCAGAATTCCTCATCTAGCACCTCTCCAAATGATATCAGAATCTATACGGACACCTTTGAGTTAGTTTCAGTTCTCGACATGTCCTATCGGAGATCAAAAAAGTTCATAACATGGGTATAAGCTGGGGCCCATGGAACATGTTCTACAGTCAACGTGTGATATATCAGTAGATGTCTGACCAGGCTGCTGTGTGGCAGCCACGCTCAGTCGGAGCAGGCTGAATTGCACTGTTTTGGTATGGCGTGTGGTTATGATCTTTTACTGGTATCGTCACCGTCGTGATGGTTAAAAGAACTTCCGACCGAGCGGACCGAAGCTGGAGTGTGGTCACACAATGACGGTACGTAGTAGAGGTTTCTGTGGCAGGACATGAGGTGTCGGACATATTTCATGTTCTGTGGCGGCGGCAACGGATACGGTGTCTGACAGTTAGTCTGAGCCTTGAACGTTTGCTGACTACGTCGACAGGGGCTGGCCCGGTGAGGGGACTGCCCAATTCCTGCGACTAACACGTTCCTTTACGTAACACTTGCGACAGAATCATGTGTAAGAAACTATACGTGTCTAATGGGTTGACTGCTTTTCTATCCCTGCAGATCCTTAGTTCCCGGGTGGTATCCTCCAACAAGGACTTGCCTGATCTGGTGAGCAAATGGCAGAAACTACAACAGAGTCTCTGAGAAGGTGAAAACTTGTACATTTCTTTCTTCTTTTGTTATCATTTTTCAAATGACAAATATTTTGCAAAAACGCCTTTTAAAGACCACGATTTGAGCGAATGGTCGAGAATGCCACCCTCCCCTTGCCACTATTTCTGTTGCCTCCGAATGGATTTACCTGCTAAAGTTTACGGTACAGTCATATGGGTTTACCGGTGTTACTAAGGCCCTGTAACTGTTTTGTCTGGCTATTCAGCACGTGTTTGCAGCAGTAGTGAGTGATAATGTGCGGTGTACGGATGCGCAACTGGCTTTTCGGGGTTTACGGCGAGTATAACCGTCCCCCCTGCCTGACCTCCGCCAGTTTACCAATGCGACTGGCGTTGTAATGGAGTTAAGTGTTACTACGCGGCTCCCAATGCCACATACACAGTGAAAGCGACCGTTAATCTGCATGGCAAAGTTTGGCGCGCTTGGTATGACTGTCCAAAGTCTGGATTAGTCATTCAAGTCATGTGGGTGGAGCGAGTGTAGTATTATCACGTCACTAGACAGATGGATTCCACGTCGGACTTGCGGTGACAACTTAGCATATTCTCGCCTGGAAAGGTAATGGCAGTTTTGTACCGTTGTCCTCACCGACATGCCTCATGTTCTATCGCCTTCGGTCACGGGCGTCTTCGTCATTTGCCGGAATTACTGTGACTGAGTACAGCTTTCCGCCGATAACGGAAGTTAAAATCCTTCCCGATCATCGCGACGGTGTTCAAGAGACGGCATATGAAGGCTTCAGGCAAACACTATGTGACACGATATCAGTAAAGAGGGGCACTTAAGGACAGAAATATTCTAGGTACTTGGTCTAATGAAGGCTGGGAATTACTCCTGGAATCCGGACCGGATTTGGGGGCTTAAGCCAAGTTAATAGCAGCGGCAAACTACCCAAAACTGCCTTTTGGGAACGTTGAGTTGCAGAGGATGGGTGGAGGTACTCGAAGGGATGAATTACACATGAGTCACAGGCGTGGTTTTTGTATTTACAATAAATGGAAAACAACAATGTACAAGCTGTTGGGCTTGAGGCGCACCAACTTGCCAAAAAGAAACCCAGTTGTGGTCTCGTCGCGGGGAACTGTCAGGTTCGAAGAGATAAAGGTCCGTTTAGCTTTTCCAGGCACTTCCTATAAATTCAAATTCAGTTAAAGTATAAGCATTTGATTCTTCCTCGGTTTCAAATGAATCCGCTCCACAAGACTGAGGACTAGACAGCGTCGTTCAGCTTATAAAACAAGACCCGCGAGGGGTTGATTGTGGCAAAATTTAACTGCCAAGCAGAGGATACCCCGCCAATTACCTTAAAAGGCAAACGTCGGGAAAACCTATATTGAAGCGGTAAAGCAAGTGTTTTTCGACCAGTGTTGTCTGCTTTCGGAAAACAGCCTAGAAACCGAAAAGACCCTAATAGGTTTCATCAAATTTTCCAACAAACCTTTTGTAACAAAGTGATGGTCCGCAGTTCCAGGAACGTTGGGACCGGAAGTTAAGGATTTTTGGTTTATTGATCACACCTATTCCCGGAAGTAGGGTGCCCTACGCGTTCTTCCTTTTCCAATCTCGGAAAAAAATTGCTTCCATAGAGATTTCGGGACCCAATGAACTGTATTTGCCCATATTCGCGTTGGCTATAGTTGTTATGAATTTGGAATTGTATATAAGAGAAGGAACTAAATAGGATCCCGCCAGGTATCTGACATTATAAAACTCCTAAGTTCACCTGGTGTGTCTACGGAGAAAAACCTCCTGGAGAACCCGAGGTCTGGTCTGCAGGGTTGTAACATGGATTCCATACGTGTATGTTGGTCCCACTTAGCATAACAGGTTCGTAAAAACGTTTTACTTCGACTAGTGTTTACTCACCATAGTCCGGGTCTTAGGCAACAGGATCGAGTTTGCGATTGAAACCACCCCTTCGATTCATGTATTGGCGGTATCTGCGCTTTTTTCGGATACAGGTGACGTAGATATCATTCCCCGGTACATGCTTGCCTTTTGTAGAATCGAACTGTGTGAATCCCATCACTTTCATCATTTCAATCTCCTCTTCTGTCCTTGGGACCTCTTTTCGCAATTACAATCAGCAGTTAAACAACTTACCATCCTTTTGTTGGGCCTCATTCCCTTCTTCACTAAAAAAATAGTCTCAAAGAATTGGTAATTACGTATGATCCGTCGGTTCTGGCGTTCGGCTGTCCTCACGAGCATTGCGCACAGGATATTCGTCCTCTTCGTGAGACTTTTCGCGGTGTCTCCGACGCGAATATTCATCTCGACGCCGCTGTGTATCGTAATCGCGGCGATATCTATCATCGTCATGTCGTAGATCCCGGTCCTTGTGTCGTCTTTCTTTAAAAGACTCATCGTTGTCTCGCTCACGATAGACCGAGTCTCTATACTTGTCACGCGACCTGGACCTAGAACGACGTCTCCCTACACCACTTTGTAAAATGGGAATTTAGCTTTTACTATTCCTGGGACTCCTGGATAACTCTCGGGGCATTGCGAGAACCAACCAGCTCAATAGTTCATTCCAAAGACGCGCGATGACTTGGGTTGATTATAAGATTGGTGCGAAGATCCATTATAGGAGACAAAGTTGGAACTTCACTGTAACTGGTATTTTTAGACCCCAAAATAGTAGAACACACTTCTTAATGTACTTCGGTGAGTACTAAGAAAATTGTAAACTAGGGGATGATTTACTTAAACTCGAAGACAAATAATGCCAATGGTAGAGTATCTTTAATATGCAAATTGAAGGCTGAGCCACCAACAACATTTCAAATCACCGAGGTGGATAATTTAACAACACTCCAGTGAGTTAATTTTAAGTCTTTTTCAATATCCTAAAGAGATTGACAAAGCCCGAGAAGTGCTATAATACCCCTATCCGATTTTCGACACATGTTCGGGGGTCCCAAATCAATTGAAACACCAGGAAATCAGCAGAAGCCGTTAAAGGCGAAAGAGGTAAAAAGTAGAATGAACGGCGCGCAAAGTGCACAATGCGACACTCAGACAGCCATCGGTGAGAACAAACTGCTTGTCTCTGAGTCAGGGAACAAAAACCCTCATTTGATTTTTGCTTTCATTTACACGAATGTGAAACTTAAGGTAATAAGATTAGTGACAACCCTTCTGTGCAGGATCCATGAAGGCAGTGTCAGCGAAAAGAGAAGGTATTCGCAAGAACATATGAAGGAATCTACGCACAGTGGGTATCAGCAATTGTTGCATCGGACATCCTATCGACAGTGTCTGAAGTAGCAAGTAAAGAGTGGTTTTAAAAGAAACGATAAATTCGAGAGGTACAAACTCATCATGCAGAAATTTAAGTATCATTGAAATATTCTAAACGGTGTACTTATAACTGACTGCAGAGTGATTTCTTGAAGAAAAATGGCGTATTTATTGAAATTGCAAAGAAATTTACCGCGACTAGACCCCTATGTTATCCAGATTATATATATGTGCCTGCGACGCTCCTCGCCAAACAGGGAACTATTGCAACGAATTGAAGGCTAACCATAAAGTAAACGTTTGGCCGGATGACAACCATTTTTCTCTGATGACCGAAGAAGACATTGACAAGGCGGCCGGAATGAAGAACTAACTGCAAACGTCATAAGGTAGGTTCGGGGCCAAGCGAGAACGGAGGTCAAAGTCCAGGAACTGCAAAGCTACAAATGGCAATGTCGGGATTAAACAGCCACAAGCCTACCTCACGCGTCGTCTGTTTCGTAAGATGGTCTTAATTAAATAGTTAGACAGGGAAATCGAAATTACCTGGACCCTATTTCATTGTCCGGAATGAAAGTGCTTTGGAACGAAACGTAGCAAATTGACTTAGTTCAGTATCCTTAAAGTTTGAGGGAGTATTCACGCAGATCAGGTGCTGTAGCAGTTACGAAGAAACCATCGAAGTGCTGGGCAGAGTCCCCATTACGCACATTTCGGAAGGTGTGGAAGAGATCTCGTATCTGCACGTAGTCCAGTGACAAGGGTTTAGGCATATCGACTCTGTGCTTGCAGGACAATGACTTTGGGCGTTCTTAGACTTAAGTCTACCTCTGGACGATTTCCGGCAACCTCAGTTAAGGCGTTACGTCCGTATCCAAAATTTCATTTGGGGAGAAATAATGGCCGCGAATACACTTCCAAATGACTCCTTATCTATAACTTAAAGATGTTTTCAGTGGCAGAGACAACCCGCTTAAGTCCTCCTTGTAGGGTTTGGTCATCATTCTCTCAGTTGATCACCCAGCACATTTTGATGTCATCCGCAAAAATGACTCGCTTGTAATCACTTAAAAACAGCAATGACCCGAACACAGAGCCCTGGTAAACCCTGCTTACTATTGACACGGACATGGATTTCGTAATGTCAATGCGCACAGACCGCGATCGGCCGTTCAAGAAGTACACTGTGTAATTGAGTAGGTTCCCCTTTTTCCGGATTCCCAGAATATTTAGAGTCAATGGTGGTGTGGAACACTATCAGATGCTCTGGTGAAGTAAATGTAAACGGAACCTGATCTTGAGTCATCATCTAACTTGCGGGATCATTGTTCCATTGAAGAGAGCGTACAGGTAAAACATGTCGGACGATGTCAAAGTAATTCTTCTCACCGAGGCTCTTGAGATTAGCATTTTGACTATCCTTTCCATAATTCTGCTTCGAATGCATGTTATTCTCACTAAACTTAGGCTGTCTGCGCTTGTTCTAAACTGATTCTTCTGAATTGGGTATATATTAATCACTTTTTTAAACAGAGGGGAGAATGCCTCAACCAAAGGACCACTAGAAAATATGCGAAAACTGTCAACAGATTTCGCAGGTGAACTTCTTCAGAACCTCCGCCAGTGTTTAGTCCGGCCGCGGAGACTTATATTCCACATGCGCATGAAATTAGTTTCGCATATCTTCTTCCGTGAAATCGATGCTTCATATTATTGAGCCGTCTGTTACAGTGGGAGGAGGTCGGCCTGGTTAAAGTCTGTCTTATTTGTGAGAACAGATGCAACAGTGACTTAGGTACACTGCCTTATCATTGTTTTCAGTAATGTTCCCATTGTTATCTCCTCAAAGCACTGTGACTTTCACTTTGTTCTTTAATCTGCTCTTGATGAAGTTACGGTGTATTTTGGCCTATCTACAACCCGTTCAGCAATTTATTTCATGTACTCCTGCCGGATCTACGGACATTTGAGTCTGTCTCGTTCCGCTTTCGGCCAGGCTCTTTGCAAAGCATGGGTTATTTTGTTCCTGCATACCTTCTCCAAGCATTTTTATTTCTGTTTATTTCTCTGTTTATACCTCGCTCTAATCAGACAGGCGCTTTCCTTCTTGGGCATTTTATTGGACAATTATGCTCCATAAATTCGCATTTATATCCACTGACAGTGTTCCAATCGATTTCCGGATGTCCCGTAAGGAAGTCATGCCAGTTTGATACGATAACTCACTTCTCATTGTGGCAAGGTCCCTTCGCCAGAAACTTAGCCGAAGCCCTGTCGTCTTCATTTAGTGAGTGTACAAGCAATATTCCCAAAACAGCACAACATGATCGCTCTAACCAGGTGGTCCGTTTGACGTTATTTCGTCAGCACTAATTGAGTGTTTCATGAGGACGAGTTCCAGGCAATTTGCCCTCTAAGCTTCTGTACTTCTGGTCGGAAGTGTGATATTCTGCATTAGAAAGACATTGGCTGCCAGTTCAAATGGTCTGTTCTAATCGATCGCCAGTACGTGGTTTCATGTGTTTCATCCGGGTCAAGCTCCCTCTGAGCACATTCAGTAGAATTTACTATATACATATATATGTAATGGTAGGGGACGCTCATCGATCGTTCTTACGGAAATCACTCGTCCCGTTGTGCCATACAGGCTGTCTCTCGAGCCCAACAGCGGCGCATGATATAAAGAGAATGCTGTTACCAATAAAAAAAGGGAGACTGGAATGGCCGGTCATTGGTATCAAGTAAATATTTGGCCATTAGGCATTAATTTATGAATTCCTTTTGAAGGTCTCAACGTTTACCGAGAAGACAGTGGAGTTTCGCAAATTATTTCATCCTTCTGGCAGTTGATGGGAAAAGAATTTGGCCAGCAGTTCAAGTTTGGCATACTTTATCTTTAATTTGTATTGGCGGCCTCAAATATTGGTCATTCGCGACATTTCGAAGAAATCGTTAAACTGCAGAGCACTGTTTAACCCTCTGATAATCCTAAAGGCCATGACCGTATCCCTTTTTTAATTGGCCATCCTCTAAGTGTGGTCAGGAAATTCCACCCCTTCTAAACGATAACAATATCTTCCCCATCGATGATATTGGCAAGACGGAATTGTTTAGCGCACCCTTTGTAGAACATCCTACTACTGAGTCCGAATCAGCTCCTTCCATTCTCCGCCTTCAGAAAGAACACTGCGTTCGATCGATGTCTCCTCGGATCTAATTACGAAACACATAAGTTGTTTTAAAAACTGACACTGCTCAAGAACAGACAGGGTTCCAAATTCGATGATCCAACAGGGTTCTGACCTTCCCTTATTGCTGAGCCATCTACTCTCGGCTTATATTTCGAACGAATTTTTCCTGGAAACATGGAAGACGTCAATTATCATTCCTGTCTTCCAATCTGGATCTCGATCCGATGTTAAAAACTATCGGGGAATGCAGAAAACTCCGTCTCTAGCAAGGCTTCCAAAAAAAATAATTTTAAATGTACTTTTTGATTTCCGTCTAACTAATCAACTTCTGGGACCTACTCCGCATCGATGTTTACCCGAAAGTCCTACGAAACCTCCCAATAAGCCTTTCTTAATCTTATCGCTACTCCCCGCAATGAACTTCAGTTTCCGATAATTATCTACTTTAATCTTAGCGAAGCCTTCGACCAAGTGTCACATAAACGTCTTCTGGTAAATTTGGAATCTCTTGACACCCGGCCACCTCTACTCGATTTTATCGGGCCCTACCTAGACAGCCGCTATCAGACAGTCGTGGTTGGTAGTAGCTACTCCACGCATCACTCGATCACGAGTGGCGCACTTCAAGGCACCTCTCCGGTTCCGCTACACTTCCTTTCTTGCATCAAGGATATTTCGACTGAAATAAGAAATCCACAAACGTTTATTTATGCCAATGACCTTAAGTGTGTTTATTTATACTCTAAGAACACCAAGAATGTTTACGCTGAAATAATTAATGCTCATTTACTATGCTCATGGAAATGTAGTCTAACTTGGCAGTTGGGGTTTTCATCATCCAAGTGTAGCTTCATTTCTTTTGTCCCTGGCACGCTTCCAGGTCCCATACTTTTCCAGAGTAGCTCACTTTCAAAATTTTTGCCCATAAAGAACTTAAGTTTAATTTATACAAATAAGCTTAATTTACCGCCTCATCCAGACCGAGTCTCTGCCAAAGCTGCGCAGACATGAGGGTCCATATCACATGATTTTTCCTTCCGGAAATAATGTTAAGACTTTATCAAATATTTGTTCTTCCTGTCCTTGAATACTGCTGCACTTTCTTTGGTTTAATGAACGCATGAAACCGTAGTAAAATCGAAAATGTTTGGGATTTTTTTACAGGAAAACACTTCTATCAATTTGCGTAATTTGCATTCATTACTTCAATAGCCATATAAATGTGCAGGCCTGAAGAGAATTTATCGAAAGCAAACGTATGCTCGCCAAATTGCTTTTTGAATTTGCGTGTAGTATTTCTTATACTGAGAGATATCAGGTGGCGAAAATTAAGTTTTTCTGGATTAGATAACTGGAAGTTGAACTTTGCTTCCTGTTCCGCGCTAACTCTAGCTCTATTCTACCGCTCATTGGCACTTCTAAGCCGAGCCATCAATCTTATGCGACGCGTAATTCCTCCATGTTGATTCCGTTACCTCTATGCTTTTCATCCAAACGCTCCCTCTCTTCTGCATTCAGATATGCCTTCCCTTTGAAATAATCTCACACCGGAAATTAGGTCATCGCCTAAGTTATCGGTATTCAAACCGAAATTACACTAGAGCCTTACACTGGAAAGCATAAAGCTGCTATGGACCGATTCATTCTCAACACTCAAATTCAGGACTTTGAAAAAAGTCCACTTGGGATTTAATGGCAGCTAGTACATATTTTGCTTGTTCAAGTAAAACTGTTACTTAGATTTTTGCGACTCCCCGTTGTTAATTGGTTACTAAATCCACTGTTACTACTCCTGATATTCAGCGATGATTTTCCCGGTTCTTGTTGTCAGCTCCTCGTTTCTACCCCAAGTGGTATGTTATATACCACAGCGGAATCCTCTATCTTCGGCATCTGCTAGTAGTTTGGTCGGTCATCGGAGATGTGCCATGCTTGCATCTTCCCGCAAAATTTAGTGATCGCCTCAGCCTTTAACGTTCCCTTCTCCGCTGGATTATGGACGGATTTTTATTGATCGTGTCTCACCACTTTGACGCGGACAGCCTCATCCGATTTAGGAATTCTGCATTGATGACCTCCGTGTCGAACCCCTTATTCAGTACCATATACAAGCCAATTCAGTCCGTCCCGCATATTTGCCCTTACATGAGCGACAGTTGTTTCTCAATAAAAGCTGATCAAATCACATTCATTTTTTCTCTCTCAAAAGAAGGAGATTTTTCATTACTCGCAGTCCGTTTTTGATATCTGACTGCTTATCTTACGTGCATGAGCACAAAATCTGTTTACTTGTCCTTAAATTCACTTGGAAGTTTATTTTTACTTGCTATGAATGTACCCCAAGGGTACTCAATAAAATGATTTATTTATTTTGTTTATTTATTTGTGTGTTGTTTCAAGTTGCATAACTTTCTCCTTTTGGAAATACAGTTAAGAATTTGTCGTATGTTTGTTATTCCCATCCGCAAATATTGATGTCCTTCCTTTTGGTCTGCTGAACGCCCGTAACCGTAGTAAGTTTGAAAGTTTTCCGAGAGGCTATAGTCGATATCTCTCTTTGGAGCTGGAATCAGCATTTCTTATCCCCAGAGACGCCAATTGACGAACATCAAAGTTTTATGGGTCGCAAAACACCCAGCCGGCCTTTTTTATATTAATTCCAGTCTTACTCTCCCACTTGTTGGCATTCTCACTTCGGTAGATTGACGTTCTTTCAGTAGTAATTCCTTCACGTCCATCATACCGCCTCTCTGTTCTCCTGCTAAACGTTCGCCTTTCTTTGCCTCCTTTGGAATAATCACTCACTCGAAATCAGGTTATCGTTTAGATCCTAGGCATTCATATGAGAATGACCTAAACACCTCACCTCCGAAGTCATTAGTGTTCGTGTAATTTCCGAACACTCAACTTCTTGACTGTGACTGAGGGACTCCTATAATTTAAGGGCAGCTATTGCATACTAGGTAGTTACTCTGGAAACACTCGTTTAAAATTTGACTACTCTGCGTTTTAAGCTGATTTCCAAGTCCGTCGGTATCATCTCCGGCAACAATGACCTCCGTGGCTTTTAATGTCCCCTCTTCTTTTAGGCCCTCACTGAAATATTGAAATCACAGGGGTCCCTCTATCTCGCCACTTTGACGGTTGTTTCTGCTGCCAGCCAAGAAATCTTATGAATGCATCTGCAGCGAGTCAGTGGTGCAAGCAGCCCCTTCTGGCCTACGAATTCTCGTCTGATTAGGAAGGTCCACAATCCTCATGATTTCTCATTTAGGGAGTGATCCTGTCCCACGTGCACATTTTTCTTTCACGGGCGACAGTTTTTTCTTCATAAAACTTACGAATCACACTTTATATCTATTTTGTGAAAATACCCAAAGAGTTTCTTCGTCGTTTGCCCATCTTCCTCTCTTAGTGTCACTTCATAAGGTTTGACGGCCCCAATAAACGGCCGTCCAATACATCGGTCGTCATTATTATAAACGCAAACCGGCAACTGTACATGTCTTCTCATCCGCTCCGCGTATTATTCGTAAAGGATTTTTAAGGGCCGTAATGACAGTGTTTGCCTCGAGTCGGGGCTTCCCCATCAGTTGTCACCTTCACAGCAGGGAGAAAGAGCCAACCGGAGGTCACACGACAAACGCGAGACATCGACCCACAGGCGTGCCCAAACATCCGAGCCTGATCCGCACATTTAACGGCAGCTGATCAGCCCACCCGATTATGAGGGGAGGGCCCACGGGCACACAGATTTTGCAGCGACTAAGACAGCCGGTCAAGTGACAGAGGTCACAGGAGCGCGCCATCGGCCGCCCACGTAGAGACCCAAGCCAATCCCCAGCCCGAAGGCAGGTCAGAGTTCGCGTGCCAGGCTTGCCTATAACACAAGATAGGCGGCGAGACAGGACAACTCTGAACCAGCAGGAACAGACACCCCATCACTCTGTTGATGGAAACGACGAAGTTTCCGAAACGTCAGCACCAGTACAGTGTGGTCCATGCAATCGCCACCTTTTCTTCTTCGCCTTCTTTTGGGGATGATGAGCGGGATAATTTATCAGGACTTCGAATCTTGCCTCATACATATATAAGTCTGGGAAACGAAGCTCCCGTGAGATAAGCGAAGGGAGTCCTCTGGTCTTGCGGATGCAGATATGTTTCTCGGGTTTTCTGTTTCATTATCTGCCTAATCTTCGACTTCACTTTACTATAGAAACTATTTCATGACAGACGAATCGGTCAAGGCAGAATCATTAAATTCCATCTTTGCAAACCATTTTACACTTAAAACCGTTCCCCTTCTGCCAATTTTTCTGTCGTCCAATGCGTTCCTTATTAGTATTTAAATCTGACAGTCGTTTTGATGTTCATAATTATCGGGGTGCTCATGGAACGCGTTGTCTATCTAAACTATGGCAAAAAAGAATTGTGAACAGCATTACTAATTTTGCATAACTCACTGGGGTGTGTCTTCCCAACATGGCTTTCTGTCCGATCGATCTTTTAAAGCCTGTCATATGTATTTTCTGAAACAATTCACTTCTCTTCCTAATTATCACCTACCTGTGATTATAAGCTATTCTGATCTTAATAAAGCCCTTGACAAAGTATAACACAAACGACTCGTAGACTGTGAGCTCCAAGACTCTACAGCCCCCTTGCTGACTTTATTAATTCACACCCATCTAATCGAAAACAAGATATTTTAGTGGATTCCACATCTTCCAATGAGAGCCCTACCGTAAGCGGTGTCCTCCGAGGCACTGTGTTAGGTCTTTTTTCACTTTGCTTTCCATAAATGGTATTTCACTAGCAGTTAAACACTCTAAACCTCTTACTTATGCTGATGAGATCTAACTTGTGTGTTGTTCTCCTGAATCTACGCCCCAAAACTGCTCAGAACAAATGCATACTGTCTTACTTGCTTTGTGTACGTGGAAATCAACATGGCTAGCCTAATTCTCTTCTTCTAAATGTCGGTACGTTTGTTTTGGACCTGAAATGTTGCCATCACCGGTGATTTTTCAAGATTGTCCTATGAATGAATACTACGCCATCAAGAACTTGGATTTGTGCACAAAAATAGCTTATATCTTTCTTCGCCTGTCGATAGAATTGCGATAAAAGCTGCCCAGACTTATAGCTTTATTTCTTATATTTTTCACCGTCCTGAAATTAAATTAAGACTTCGTCGAATGTCCGTCCTTTCCAGGCTTAAATACTATTATCTATTCTTTGGCTTAATGAGGGGGTCCAGCCGTTCTAAACTCGAAGATGCCCAAAAACATTGGCTTGAAAACAATCTCATCTGAAACAGTTAGTTCAGCATTGACAAGGGAGACTAGAATGGCCATTTCTGACTTATTAGCCGTCGTCATTCAGTCATACCCAACCTCGAGGTACGGGTCACCTGAGCCTGATACTGCGACTTGTTGGTTAGAAGTCCAACTTCTCTAACCAATGAGCCACGGACTCGTCCTGTCGGCTCAGTTCAACTATACTAAGGAAAAAGTAGAGGAACGCCTTTAAACTCCATCATGGTTGCAATAACGTCAAATATCCATCATATAAAGAAATTTGAAAAAAAGACTGGCTAAAGAATTTCTTGTAAGAAGCATGCCTGGTGAATGCTAATATGCCTTAAAACTGCGAAATGGCCAAACTCGTTACTGAAATGCGTCAAGTAACATGGAAAGGAACATTCGAACATCACACGTTCATCCGCCGAGGAATCTAACATAATAATGATAAAATGTTATTACTGAAACACGAGTAGTAGTATGTTTGGTAATACCTAAATTTCGCGATGGATAATACAAGGGGAGGAATGTGTTAATTGCGATGGCGTGGTGGTACCTATCCCCTTGCCGGTTAAGCTTTCATTTAAAAGTGTCCACGGATGGGGACACAACGACGTCGATAAACAAGGTATTCCATGCCACAATCACTCTGTCGGGAAGAATACCCTCATTGCGGCCAGTCGTCTCCCAGTCACAGGTAGTTTGAGGGAATGTCCTTGTAAGCTGGTGACGGTGGCCAGCTCAAAGAAGTCGCCGGATGCGATGTGACACAGTCCTGACCTCGCGTCACACAAAACGCTCCTACCAAGCCGTCGAATAGCTGCCTGAAGTCCAAAAAAGAAGTCAAAATTTGAGTTGTGAAAATTCCCATTGAAGAATTCAAAAGACAATTTAATTAGTATACGTTAGCTTTCGATAAATTCTCTCCAGGTCTGTACATTTATATTGCTATCGAAATGATTAATAATAAAATGCGGGCAAGCAGAAGTTATTCTGTAGCTAAGGTTTTTGGGGGAGGAGTAGGTGAATTAAAAAGCAATATTGCCATCAGTGTCAGGGGGAGAGGAATGGTGGGCGCTGGGACGGATAATTATATGCGGGTGGTTGGCATGGTGGCTTTGGCTCATGGTAACTGTGGGGCCTGTATGAAGTTCTTCTGTGCGCACAGGACCGGATTCCACGAACTCCCGCTGCGCCATCGTTTCGGCATTTTTGGTTGTTTCCCCCAGAGCTCACAATATATTCAAAAATCCCCAATATGCAAATTGTGCACATTACAGTTATTGGCCTAACGCGTGGTAGGTGGCGAAATTTATCAATGATTGTTAATCACTCGCAAACCGACACCAATGCGTGGAGCCAATATCTAGGTTTATACATAACAACTTTTAAAAAATCAAAAACATAAAAGAAATATTATAGGTAGTGTTGCGTGGTTCAGAAATGTCAATTGTTCTTAAAAAAGCGCAAAATCCCGAAAACGTCAAAAATGGTTGTAATTTAGTAAACTTCATTTTTGAATGAACGGAATGTCTGTCCATGCAAAAACCGAGTAAATATGAAAGTACAAATAAAATAACATTTAAAAATAGTGTCTTAGTGAGGTTTATGCTTTAATATCCCTTAAGAATTATTGTGATTGCAGGCATGGTGGTTTGTCAACAGCCTACATTCTGAGTATAGATTCTAAAACGGTTTTCCGAGAATTCGTGGTATTCTTTACGCTTTCGAATAGACTGAGAAGCGTCTCAATGATGGAAAAATTCTCACATCAGTTCCTGCCACCAGATTTTGAGATAGGTCACGTGCTGCATTATCATAGGTATTGTGTGTGAAAAAACTTATATCGTCTTTACTACTATGCATGATTGAATACCTGAATTGACCGTCCAGCTAGCTACCCCGACTACTTCTCTGAGGGAGTGGTCAGGGAGAACATCACCTTTTGTGAATGTCTGCTGAGAGATCGTGGAAGGTGAAATCACCCGCGCATAGGGAAATGAGAACGGATAAGGTAACAAGTCTTTGACACTCTAAATGCCCACATACACACATATGAAACTCCCCAAACGGGACAGCATAGTTTTCATCTTATTAGAATCACACATGACCTACACACTTGCGTTGCGCACTGTCGTACTTGGTCTCACAAACAACAACTATCAACAGAACATCATACATAATCCATGTAATCAGCATTTGCAAATAACTTAAGAGATGCGAATTCGCTTCACGTAAATCCCTGCCATTCGCATCCCTTATCATCTTGAGGAGTAATGCTGATACTGCGGACATCACCCCACGGCAAATCAGTGTCTTTCCCAGTTAAGTAAGCCTGATGCACTTTAATCTACCACGGCGTGCTGAGACTTGGCGTAGAAACTTGCCATGTGACGGGGTGATTTCGTCCTACTGTGGAATGAGGGTCGACCTGTAATGACCCATTCTTCGTATGGTTTCATGACATCCCCGCCTATACGAGGTCCGGATCACCCTCACAGTAGACCGGTACACGCCACAGGAGCCACAGGTCGTGTATGGCACGCGTACACGAATCTTTGGCTTTGTCCGTCGCTGCATTCTAGCGTACTTTAGGTTGACTTGACATTGCTTTGCCATCTGGACCAGGTAGGTGAGATAAGAGTGCTGGGTCTCACTATAGATCAGATCTGACGTTATTCACACTTGATGCCTCCACTCCGTGGGGCAGGCAGTCTGGAACACATCTGCCAGTCCATGGCTGTTTAGATCGGCAAATATCTCTTGCTGTGATTTGAAGAAGATGCCGCCTCGAAGTGCAAGGTGACTGAAATTCTGAATCAAGGACATTCACTGGCGTCAATGTGCAAACGCAGCAGACATTGATCGTCAGAAGTAGGGTCATAAATCTCCCAGACTTGGGGAGTAATGGTTAAACTCGAGGTTTCTGTCAACGCATACGTTAGTGGCTAGGGAGCACAGAAGTTGAGGTGTATGGGTGGTCGTGTGACTATTGATGGACTTTCATGTCCTGACATCGGTTCGAACTGCCGGTCAGGAAGTGCTGCGCAAGTGGAGCATAGGTTTTATTCGTTGAAATAGTAGGAGTGGGTAATTGTACTTGATGACTTGGGTCTACCGTGGAGTTTACAATAAACATCCTTCACCAGCACGTTATTGTCGGATAACTGAATTTACTGTCGAAGCTCTCCCAATGTCGGGCTAATCGTAGTGATATACGACAGTCCTGATCGCAGTATAATACGGGCCGTAGAAATCAGGAAATGTGTGCTGGGAGTTAAGGCGAAAATTTAGATCAACCATGCGTTTGATCTCCTAAAAACTGTTTCAATGTTGCTGCATTAGTTTCGGATCTGATTCTTGGACAACCAACCCTTCCGTGCATATCCTGCAGCGATGGGCGGAGCATTTCCGAGGCGTCCTCAACCGCCCCTCCATCATCTCCGACGCCGCCATCAAGCGTTTGCCGCAAGTGGAGACCAACATGGACCTCGACCTCCCACCATCTCTCCAGGAAACGATCAGGGCCGTGCAGCAGCTCTCCAGCGGGAAAGCACCCGGATCGGACGCAATCCCTGCTGAGGTCTACAAGCACGGAGGTCCCCTACTGATGGATCACCTGACTGCGCTCATCCAAGAGATGTGGCTTCAAGGTGAAGTCCCGCAAGATTTCAAAGACGCAACCATCGTGCATCTCTAAAAGCGCAAAGGGAATCGCCAAGTCTGCGGCAATCACCGCGGCATCTCCTTGCTGAACATTGCCGGGAAGATTTTCGCACGAATCCTCCTCAACCGCCTCAACAACCACCTGGAACAGGGCCTTCTG